CAGGTGAAGTGTTTGTGTTGGACGACGGGGGTGAGGTGGACCTGGACCTGGGTAACTACGAGCGCTTTCTGGACGTAACCCTCCATAAGGACAACAACATAACCACCGGAAAGATATACCAACACGTGATCCAAAAGGAGCGAAGGGGTGACTACTTGGGAAAGACGGTCCAAATCATACCACACGTGACCACAGCTATACAAGAATGGGTGGAACGGGTGGCCCGCATACCGGTCGACGTGAGGGTCACCCCCGAGGCCAAGCCTGGAGCCACTGGTGGTGGCGGTGATGGCGCGGATCACGTGCCCGAAGTGTGTGTCATAGAGTTGGGTGGAACCATCGGCGACATCGAGGGTATGCCGTTCGTGGAGGCGTTCCGACAGTTCGCCCGAAAGGTGGGTGCGTCCAATTTCTGCAACGTTCACGTGAGTCTTGTGCCACAACCCAAGACCACCGGTGAGCACAAGACTAAGCCCACGCAAGTCAGCGTACGGGAGCTCAGGGGACTCGGACTCTCGCCAGATCTGGTTTGTATAGCTCTCTCTCTCTCTCTCTCTCTCTCTCTCTCTCTCTTATTCGTTCGTTCATTCATTCACTCATTTATGGTTTGTGTTTAAATGTGTCAAACGTTTGGTTTAAAAACTAATTAATAATCCCAAACCTCCCGTTCCCCTGAACACACTCGCAGATCATATGCCGGAGCGAGAATCCGATCACATCAGAGGTGAAGGAGAAGATCTCGGACTTCTGTCACGTGGACCCGGATCAGGTGGTGTGCATTCACGACCGGTCGTCCATATATCGCGTGCCACTGGCGCTCGAGGAGCAAAAGTTGGCCCTATTTTTTGACACCCGCCTCGACCTCAACTTAGACCACAAGATGCCGCGCCCTCTCATGAGGAGGTGGCGCGACTTGGCCGACAGGTACGATAATATGACCAAAGAGGTGAACATCGCACTGGTAGGCAAGTATACTAAGCTCCAGGACTCGTACGCGTCGGTTGTGAAGGCGCTCCAGCACTCAGCCCTCCATATTCACCATAAGCTCAATCTGACGTGCATTGAGGCCGAGGCGCTCGAGCTCACGGCCAAGGATACCGATCCCGTGAAGTACTACGAGGCCTGGCAGGCCCTCTGCAAAGCCGAGTGAGTTATTTGTGTTGACACCATAAGCTCAATCTGACGTGCATTGAGGCCGAGGCGCTCGAGCTCACGGCCAAGGATACCGATCCCGTGAAGTACTACGAGGCCTGGCAGGCCCTCTGCAAAGCCGAGTGAGTTATTTGTGTTGATTGTTATTTTGATGGGAAGGGCATGTGTTTTATTCCTGACTCATAGGAATGAGGGGCCTGTATGTCATGTTAGCACTGTATTCATCGCATCAATGATTAAAACTTGATTGCTGTTCACATTCAGACCAATTTATGGTGATTTTGTGTGATATATGAGATGAGTTTGAAAACAGTTGTGACACACAATTCAGTTGAAAGTGTTTATTGAGAGCACTGTTAGGTTTGATGTGTATTCATGTCTAACATTTATTTTGTACCACTATTTCCAGGGGTGTGTTAGTTCCGGGAGGTTTTGGTGATCGAGGTATTGAGGGCAAGATTCTGGCCATAGAGTGGGCGCGCATTAATAAGAAGCCATTCCTGGGTGTATGTTTGGGTATGCAGTGCGCGGCCATCGAGTTTGCCAGACATGTACTGCACTGGACGGACGCTAACAGTACGGAAGTGGACCCGGAGTGCCCTAAACCAGTGGTCATTGACATGCCTGAGCATCACGGGGGAGACCTGGGCGGCACTATGAGGGTAGGCAAGCGTACGACCATTTTCAACGTGAACTACCCGTCCGTTTTGCGGCAACTGTACGGCAACGCGACGTCATTGGAGGAGCGACACAGACATCGATACGAAGTGAACCCGGAGTTTGTGAGCGCTTTCAATGAGGCCGGCATGCGATTCGTGGGTCAGGACACGGAGGGCACCCGCATGGAAGTGATGGAACTCGTAGAGCACCCGTACTTTGTGGGCGTGCAATACCATCCTGAGTACCTGAGTCGACCCCTGAAGCCTAGCCCTCCCTATTTGGGTCTATTGTTGGCATCGAGTGGTAAATTGCAGTCCTTTTTGAACCGGGGCTGTCGTCTGTCCCCACGAGCCGGAAGCGACTTCGAGTCCAGCGATGAGGAGTTTAGTCTCATTAAAGCGGAAAGCCTTCAGAGGGAAAGGGTTTCTGACAATTGAGTGGAAAAACGAGTTTTTTTGTCAACTTTTTTATGTCACAAAATCGAGTCTCAATAGATTGGCTATGAAATAGACTTTTAGTTTACAATTTTATTTTATTATTTTATTACTTATACAGTATAATAGGTTTCTAATTGTAATGATTTTTGTTCACCAATTTCTCATTCATTTAATGTGTGTTTTTGTTGCAATCTATTGACGCGAAGGTGTGATTGAATGCACTAATAATCACATAAATCTCTGCTTTTTGCTTCCCTTCCCTCCCGATCCCCACAACACAATCATATTCACTCATCGGTACCATTGAGTGTCGCTATAGACAAGTGCATAGAAAACCACTTTTTTGTTTTATTGAACTCATTATTATAGCGTTTTATTTAATTTTCTCAACTATTTATCTGTTAATCTCATGCCCTCCCGTTTCCCCCCTCTACCCGACCCCCACTCTCTCTCCTAGTTTTTACAAATGTGTGGATATATTGCTCAATGAAAATGACTTTTGATTTGATGACAATTGGATCGTAAGACTGGTTGAGTAACCACTGGTGCGATACATATCATACGAAAACGAGCACTAAATCGACTTATAATGTATTAAAAAGAGTTTATTTTAATTATATAAAAGTTGGTGTCAATTGTGTCCGGACTTTGTTATTGTCACTCATTTGCGAAGCGAGCTATTCGTCGACGAGTTGTGTAGTGTTTATTATCTCAAGTATTTTGTGTTGAAAATATTTTTTAGTCTTTTTGTTATTTTGAAGTGTTTTTCAATTAATTGATTAGAGTTTACAATAAAATTAGTATTTTTCGCACAAACCATGTATTCATTTGTGTTTTTATTAATGGCGTTAAACGTGTTGAGCTCGTGGGCTAACCCCTTGTTCGTGCCATTTGGCGGCGATAATCGTGTGGTACGACTGGTGGCCATACCTTCGGAAGCGCTCCGGGATTATCAGCCCGAGGAGTCCCATCCCTTCGAGTCGGCCGTAAGGGTAGCCCAGGCGTCGGCGCCGATGGAGGTGTCCGACGACGACTCGTATGACGAGACGGCGCCCGCCGTTCGCGTTATAGCCGCCCCTCAAGCCCAGGGACGTCAGCCCCGTATGTTTAGGTTAGCCGATACGGGCGCTCGCGATTTGAGTGCATTAGCATCGCATCACGACTTACAGACGGCCGCCACCGGACACGGAGGTTACGGCCCGTCCGGGTGGCTCGATATGGGCGCCTATAGCAGCGGTTATGGAGCTTTTGGATGGTATGTATTGAATTGAAAATTAATTTTTTATTCAATTCATTCAATGTATTATTAAATTAGATTAGATTTAATATACCTGTACCATGTTCAAAATTATATACCGTATTTATAGCCTAGAAAGTGGTTTAGTATTTTAAAATGAAAATATTCCTGATGGTTTATTAACTAGTATTAATTTTACTTATAATAAATAGTTATAAATACTATCCATGGATAGTTAGATAGCTATAACTTACATTGAAATCTTGATTGAAACTCAATGACCACTCAATGCATAATTACTAACACTTATGAAATGTTTTACAAGTGATTAACTGATACATTGAATCGCACCGTTAGGTACGCCGACTACCCGGTTGGTGGTGGCAAAGGGTACGGACGTTAAGCCCACGGAATTTCACAAACACTTGATTCCGGATTAATATGTTATTTATTGTTTCAAACAAAAAGTATTTTTATTTATACCGTAATATACAGTAAAATAATCGATTCTTAATTCATAATTAATAACAGAATATATTTTTGTGAATAAACTTTGAAATAAAATAAACTAATTTTAAAACTTACAAATTATATACAAATTAATGTTTTAAAATAAAATGTTATCTGCTTAAAACTTAATCTTTTAATACTGATTACCGCGTACAATTCATTTATTCAAAAGTTTTNTCATACTATGAATGCAATGGCCACAGAAATGGCGTGCCCGCGTGGACAGGTAGGTGGTGGTGCTTGGACTTACCATGCTCATATGGCGAGAATGTGCCAGCGTCTATGTTGATGTAGGGGTCGATCTTAATGGAGGTGACCCTCAAGGCGTACGACTTCAAGAGTGTGCCGATACTGCTGGCGATCACACCCTTCCCGATGCCACTGATCACACCTCCCGTCACCAGAATGTACTTCATGGTAGTGGTTGTCATGAATGCTGTGCCCACACACCGGTGCTGTACCTGTGATCACTGGGAGATACCTGTGCCCCACAAACACGTGTTTATTAGCGACTAAACGTTTGTCGCAAATCGCAGTCAAACTTATTGCATATCAACAGCCAATCAAAAACAGGTGATCAACCAGTCATATGACTGCACCGGACGTTATTTATTAAGCAATTTGTGTAAAATGACACTGCTCACCCATGTTACAAGTTTTAAATATCTGTGCGGATTTTTAAAATTGTAATACGAGCAGGGTAATTGAATGTTATTGTTCCCGGATGGTAATTAAGCACCCGGATTAAATTACTAAAGTTTATAATTAGAAATTGTTGTCAGGGGGGCCAAAGGGGGGTCTCATTACTCACACATATATTACGTATCGTTTGTTTTGTGATGTTTTTCATATGATTTTCAAAAACATTTGACAATTGATTGCAATTAACGCTAAACCAGTGTCTCATTGGACACGCAATCGCTGTTTGGATGACACCTCAAGACATACACAAACTTTAGTGACATTTAAATCCACAGCCAATTGAATCGTAAGTGAAGTTTGCGTCCAACAAAAAGTTATCACTTGTTAATTGATCCCACATTTGAATCGCCCATTAGTTCCCGCGCAACGACTCGCGAGGGTTTGTGTCCACACGTGTCGGGTGACCGCCGGTGACTGTCAGCCATGAATGAGTCGCACAAATCGCTGCTTAAGACACTGGAAGCGTTGGGTCCACAGATCTTCGCCATTGAAGGCGATCTGTGTCTATGGATACAAATCATCGAAACGGTGGACAAGAAGGCCATCAATGCGTTGCTCCGTCTCATCCAATTGGACGCCAAGACATGCGACCAGAGGTACGCACTGG